AAGCAGTGAATATTCATAAGGCAACTACTGCTCGCTAAGCAAAACTGCGCAAAACGAATGACCTTACCAGCTATTTTGGTGCTCGCCGCTGTTTATTTTGGCGTTATACGCTACCTCTCAAACTGCGCAATTTTGTCGTCGCCAAACGCTTCCGAAATCGCCCATTTTAGCGATTCCGAATTGATCGCTCATCTTTTCGCTTATATTTGCACTCTTTTCGGCCAGCTCGTCACGCTCTCAGCAGAATTTTGTTCCTTTGGCTAAAATTCGCCCCTACAGCTGTTTTTTGCTCCTGTTTTAAAAAATTTCGCTCAATTTCTCCCACTTTTTGCACTTTTTTCTCTCGGAAGAAGTAGATCTCCCAAGAGCTGCTTTATTTTACTGGTTCCTTTGGGTCCTGGTCATTTATTTACTGGAAGATTTGATTTTTTTCGACTTTTACAGAATTTTGAATATTTTTTTTTTTGACTTTTGCAAAATTTTGAATATTTGCAAAATTTTGAATCTTAAAAATCAGGTGTTTCTGTTTGTGCGAGAACAGAGCTGGATTGGTTCAGATGGCTTGGAGCATCTTATCGCGCACAGCGATGACCTCTCATCTAATATGCCAGTTGCTGACCACATGAGTGTCCACTCTGATTACGGTTTGTTTCTTTTGGCATTCGTTTTTTAAGTTGCAGAGATGAACTATTTTCCTGTTCCACGATCTCGGGCAGCACATCAGCTTTCTTTTCCCAAAAATCTACCTTCCCAACGATCTTCTGCGGCCAAGTCGTCCCATTCTTAATGAATCCGAAGTGACTGGTAATGCGCTTTTATTTCGCCACTGATATTAGTCATTCCTTGTTGTTTAATTGCCAGTAAGGCTAACTGCATTGAATTTAGGGAGTGATATTGATCTCCAGTGCCCATCCTCACATTCATCCATGCATGCTGTGATACTGGTTATGGCGCTATCGTTGCACGCTGTGTTTGAAGGCCTCTCATTGGGCCTGGTGGGCGATGTGAACGAGATTTTGCAGGTAAAAAATCGTTTTTTATGCATTTTTTGCAGCTATGCAATGCAGAAAACGCATATTGACGAGAGATTGTCTGTG